TCATCACCTACATATATAACAATACACCCTCATCACCTACATATATAACAATACACCCTCATCATCTACATATATAACAATACACCCTCATCACCTACACCTAGTGACAGGGTATGGGATGATACCTGGTTAGTAAATTTCATACCTGGCGAGGCGGAGTCGAGTCAGGTATGAAATTTACGTAAGGGATACAAGACGAAAATGGTCTATTATGTCAGATACGGGACTGGGAAAAGGTGCGAAGCACCGAGTCTCAGTCCCGTATCTGACATTATAGACCATCTGAGTTTTGTATCTTACTTAAAACATTTTTTCAATGCACTTTTGTATTGGCTTTTGTCATAATATGATACTTGTGACGTGAACAAACCAGATGGATGGGGCGATTAAGGGTTTCAGATATTTCTTTCAAAGGGATGAATAGATTTTGAATCAAAAACCTTTATTGAACCCCAATTATATATTATATATCGTTGTGACACTCTACGGACGCATTAAAAAGATTTGAGCAACTTCATGATGAAAAGCGATTCTGAGAGTATTGCGAGGGATCTTTTTTAACGTATGAAGATTGTAAGTGACCAGTAGGCAAATACATGTATATTCCTCGAAAGTGTCGTTTTTGTCTCTTGGATATCGAAAGCACCACATCTTTACGTAAATTAATTTAGAAATATATTATGAAATTAAATTTTCCGGGAAAAAATGGGAGTTCTGTGTATATTAACAGATCGAGTGTAAACTTGACGGAATGTCAACACTCTACAATGGACAACTTCACGTGGATGTGTTTGGATGTGTTTTCGGAAAATTCAAATTTAAAATAAGTGCTTCAATATCGGTCGTTTTACAATCAGTGACCTGTCTGGACGGAGTGTAAATTATAATGGATTTCTACTTGAAATACTCCTATTTTGAAGTTTCGTTGCATAAATTGGTTTCTATAAAGTTTAAATTGGATTACGAGATGTTGATTGCTCCATTGCTTGAATTGGATTACGGAATTATTGATTTCTATATAAAATGCATAATGTTTGTCTATTTTCTGCCTTATTTATTCGCTGTGAAAAAATCTAAGTGACGTCATCCTTTGCAATTGTTCACACAGTCCAGTATTATTTTGGAGTACAATATTAGATATAATATTGTACTCCTGACAATAATATTGGACTATAGCAAGTACACTCTTTGAAATATGAGACTGTAGAAACAAAAGAATGACGTCACAAAAATGTTTTAATAACCAGGTATCATCCCATACCCTGTCACTAAATGACTATGTAACGAATTTACCCCACCGATGAAACATTTACGTTTTATCTGTAGTTTATAAATGGTTTTCTCTGCTAAATGCTTCATCACGCATATACTGTGCCTATTATGACGTCACGTTTGTGATTGTGACGTAATACATCGACCGGGTATGGATTTACAACTGACCGGGTATAAGTAATCCACCACCTTCACGTGACAGACTTCAACCAATCGTAAGCCAGGATCTCACGGAAAAATCGACAGAGGTGGGGTAAATTGTTATATGTAGGTGATGAGGGTGTATTGTTATATATGTAGATGATGAGGATGTATTGTTATATATGTAGGTGATGAGGGTGTATTGTTATATATGTATATGATGAGGGTGTATTGTTATATATGTATATGATGAGGGTGTATTGGTATACGTATATATAACAATACACCCTCATCATATACATATATAACAATACATCCTCATCATCTACATATACAACAATACACTCTCATCACCTACATATATAACAATACACCCTCATCACCTACATATATAACAATACACCCTCATCACCTACATATATAACAATACACCCTCATCATCTACATACATAACAATACATCCTCATCACCTACATATATAACAATACACCCCCATCACCTATATATAACAATACACCCCATCATTTACATATATAACAATACACCCTCATCATCTACATATATAACAATACACCCTCATCACCTACATATATAACAATACACCCTCATCACCTACATATATAACAATACACCCTCATCACCTATATATAACAATACACCCTCATCACCTACATATATAACAATACACCCTCATCATCTACATATATAACAATACACCCTCATCATCTACATATTTAACAATACACCCTAATCATCTACATGAATAACAATACACCCTCATCACCTACACATATAACAATACACCCACATCACCTACATATATAACAATACACCCTCAACACCAACAAATAAAACAATACACCCTCAACATCTACATATATAATGTTACACCCTCATTATATACATATATATCAATACACCCTAATCATCTACATATATAACAATACACCCTTATTACCTACATATATAACCATACACCCTCATCACCTACATATATAAATACATCCCTCATTATCTACATATATATAACAATACACCCTCATCGCCAACATATAAAACAATACACCCTCATCATCTACATATGGACTTTATGTCTCCTGATTGATTTGATGCACAAAAACATGCTCTAATGTATCAAGAATTTTTAAAAGGAAGGAAGCTATTGATAAAGAATTTGATGAAACAAGAATATCAACAATATCGTGTTAATTAAGTCATCATTTTGTAAGTTCTATGGTAAATACAATGACCACTTCAGCAAAAAGTATACACGTATTTTTCATGCTAATTGTTTGACCATCGTTTACGCATTGAATTATCTACATAGAAGCTGTCAGTTTTGTGTTTACCTTTTTTAGGGAGGTGGGGGGCAGATGGACACAAACCCATATCTTATGACGATAAAATTGTCTACGGATGATACAATATCTTGATCATGATAAGGACCACAGAGCGGGTGTGATCGGTCGACAGGGGATGTATATTCCTCCATGACACCTGATCCAAGACCTCAGAGGTCCGAGTTTGCTCTGCTCCTGATTTCTATTGTATCAATGGACTTTTGATCGTGATTACTGTTCGTTATCTCAATATTTGATGAAAATGTTTGTATCAAAAGAACCATGTCCATATGAAATTTAGATTCAGAATGTTATAAGTCACACAAGTGACTCATGAGAACTAGAATACCATATGCTTTGGATTTAAATTTTCCTTTTTGTCACTAAATCATGTGGCACTGGTTGACACAGTTATACTTTTCCCAGATATATCAAAATCAATCCTAATCAAGAGGCCAATGGGCCTTATAAGTCACCTGGCCTGTATAAATTTTAAAGGCAGATTCCACTTGGAATTTGGGTGGAATTGAGCAGGAATTGGCAAACTCCAGGCATACATGAGGCAGAGACGAAGTTTTCGAAGAGTTACGCCTCAGTCAAAGAGGCATCTTACAGGCGTCAGTTTTAATTTCCGGGCGTCATTTTGCAAGTTAAGATTTTCCTGGCATAAAATGGCAGGAAAATATAAACAAAAATTAAGCCTGGAACTTTGAGGAGAAATAGAGGGGGTGGGTGGTCAATTTAATTATCAATTAAGGGTCATTTCAGATAGTAAGTTAATTTTGAATTTGATCTTGAAGGAGGGAGTTTAGTGTCAGTGAAATAGAAATGCAGATATATCAATGTTAAGGCTTTTACACTTCTGGATTACACAGTATCTGCTGGTAGGTGTGATCATTAATATCTGGTACCTATTTGAGTAAATTTGATTATGATTATGTAAAATAATAGTTATAACTTGTTGACCCTAAAATTACTTTAGATATTTTGAGTTTCCTTGTAAACACTCTGAGAAATAAAAGTTTGATAGAGGCAGTCTTGGACAACTGTAAAATACTGAGTAAATGAATAACTGTAGTGAGTAACTTGTTTCAATGTCATAAATATTGAATTGATAAAATGTACCAGAATTGTAAAAGGTTGGTTAATGCTTGTACACTCAATCATGGTGGTTTTTCAGTGTCCCTTACACAAAAAATTGAAACAAGTTTCATAAACTGTGTTATTGTCCTGTCATTATGTTTTCTTTCAGTTCTAAAAAAAAATTTAGCTTTAACATTAAAAATCATAACCTAAACTTTTCGAAAACTCCGTCTCCGCCTCATGTACGCCCGGACTTTGCCAATTTCTGTTCAATTCCACCCAAATTCCAGGTGGAATCCGCCTTTAAAATTCATACGATAGAGGCAAAAATTGTCCAATTTTCATCTCATGTCTATATGATGACATGACAAGTTTACCTCTCACTATAAATTTTGTCCATTTGAACAAAAGAAATTATAGGATATTATTACTATAAAGCAAAGAACATTTGATAAAGATAATTTTACTTGTACGTTTCAAAAATTATCTTAATACGGGCCAGGAATAATTATCACAAATAGTATTCAAATTATACTGTATCTAAAAACTTAAATAAACAAAGAAAAAAATAAAACTTCAATAATTTATATTTTTTATTATAGTTTACTGGTACACTTGTGTACAACATATTATGAACAATTTTTACCCTGTTCAAAAAAAGAAACATTTTGCAAGACTTGTCCCTCTTTCCACACATAACGCTCTAACAGATATGTAATACATTAACAAAACAATTATCAAAACAAAATAATGTAAAAAAAACATACTTTACCCTTCCTGGGCTTAAAGAAGTGGGAAATATTTAAAATCTCAAATAATTTGATAAAAAGTTAAAGCCACCAGCAACATGCTGCTACATTTTGGAGAAATTTTTCTTATCACAGAACTGAGGAGATTTTTGCTGCCTTTTTTTTCAAAGTAGATTATTTTATATCCAGAAGTACGCATATTTTCATTTTAGTTTGAGTAATTAAATTATTTCAATTTTACATACATTTTGGAAAAGGAAGGATTGCCAAAAATTACCAATTCTGTTTACACCATTTTGAAAGTTATGAAAAATATGTAGTATTGGTGCCCTTATTTGATGATTTAAGAATTCATAATTAAAACAAGTTGTTGTACAGTATGAAATTGAAATAAACTGAACAATTCCTTTTTAATATTTTTTAAACATAAAAATAGAAAGCTGCAAAAATAATTTCTCAATAAAAACCATGTCCAGAGTTAATTTGTCCAAAACAAAATTTACAGCCCTCATAACTGACAAGAATTTTAATAAAACATGAAGTCTTAAGTCAGCTGGGATTTTCTTGTAAAATCTAAACTCAAAAGGAACAATTGATAATGGTAAACCATGTATCAAGGTACAGATGAAATGTCATCATATATCAAGGCTTCAGGTCAAAATTTCCCCAAATGACTCCATTCTAAAGAAACAAAAATCCCTTGTTATTTAAAAACAGAAATTCCAGGCATTATAGACAGAAACAAGATTTGTCTAGATACAAACAGGTAATATAGAGGGCTTGTAAATTGTAAACGAAGAGTAGAATTAATTACAGGTGTGTAGATTTGTGAGGTGTATTAAAAGAGCACTTAGAAACACCTGTGTACTGTATATATTGTGTGTAGGGTCTCAGTTCTGTCTCATTACAAGATTAATTTAACAACGATCAGTTTGTAGAATATCTACAAAGAAACAATCTCCCATACACTCACTAAATCTTTATGAATACAGATTGCACTCTTACAGGTTAAAATCCTTGTTTATGGACAGATATTCTTTATCATATAAAACCTTGCACAATCCAAACACACACATACAACATCCAAACTAACTATCAAGTATCCATGTATATCACTTGCAAAACTGACAATCAAGTATCCAAAGTATCCATATATACAAAATATTATCTATACAGCCTAACAAGTATCCACACATACAGCCATTAGACAGCTGATCAATTATCCATACATACAACAAACACAGCTTATACAGTCTCCATCCACTCTCCTTTTATTCTCAGACTGGCACAATGCTTGATTGGACATCTGATTGAAGTTATTCACTTGCTTCATAGAAAAATGCAATGTCTGAAGTGTTTTATTTTTCTCAGGTCTACACCAAGACAGTGGGAATCTTTGGTAAACTTTCTCCTTTAATGGCCCTATCTTTTATCACAGATTGCAGTATCAAGCATAATATTGTGTCATATAGGTTTTTTTGTGTCAATTTCACAAATCAGTTGGGTAGTTTTCACGTAGCACAATTTGTGCCCATTGTCATACCAAGTATTTCCACCCAAACACACCTGAGTAACAGCACCAGTTGGTCAGTGACTTGAAGTTTGTATCACAGGTTTCTTTGTATCAATGAAATGTTTTATCCAATCACAGGTAGACTTTCATGACTGCAATTCTTTTCTCGACCAATCAGAATGACTCATTGTTCCACACGGAATACAAGATCCTGTGAGTTGTTTGTAGTCAAACAAAGGAAGTGAGGTATCTTTAGAACTCCTGACTGTGAGTTCAGGGTCCGTTATAGGAATACTGCTGCATGTGATGATGTGGATTATGATGACTCTGTGAAACGGACGAAATGTCTGTGTAAAAGTCTATACTCTGGCTATTTTTAGATAGCATCTCACGACTCGACACTATAAGATGGGGGCTAGGCACGCCCGCATACAAGTTTTTGTGTTGTGGTCCATGTATGGGGTTCACATGAATGTTTGTTTTGACATCATTCGTGTGTGGGACCCCAAGATAAGGCTCGGGGTCCTGTGTGGGAACTCTGTTGAAATGAGGACCGTTCACAACTGACCCCTGGTGGTACTGCGCCCGTCGTCTCCGCTGGAAGAAGAGGAACGCGATGATTATTACGACGAGAAGGATTCCGCCCGGTACACCCACAACCAGAGGAATATTCAGGTTACTGCGGTCGATCGTGTAGGCATATTGGTTCTGAGGGTGATCTAAAAATAGAATAAAGAACTGACAACAAATTTGTTAAATATGAAAATTGCTCAGCATTTTAGTTCTAAAATTTAGTTGTAGTTTCATATTAATTAGATCTCAGAAGCTTTATACTTTACTAAAGTGAACAATAAGGTTTGTACTTTCTACATTAGATTGATACTTACTGGATTGAACAATAAGATGTGCACTCCGCCAACTGAAGCCCATTGTATTGGCTGCCAGACAGATGTACATTCCTCCATCGGCCTCCGTCACGTGATGAATCACAAATTTATTGAGGTATGTGCCATCGGATCCGCTCCCGATCTCACTCGTTTTCAGGATGATGAAGGGTTGCCCCTTTAGCTTTATAGAGTTGTTGGACATGAATTTAGGGTCGTCAACTCTCTTTAGCCACTGTTAAATAAAATAATTAAAAAATTAACAATAGACAAAATTATAAATATAAAATTGTACTATGAACAGAGGTTCAGAAATGTAGTTAATCTTGCAGACATTGCTCCGACTTATCTTATAAAAAAGCATCATGTATATATAACTCACTACTTTATGTTTTAATCATAATTCCTCTGTCATAAAATTCAGTCTTAATTAACATTAAGAATAACAACATATGATTATCTCTAATTTCATATATTGACAAAATTAAACTATATTATTGAGATGTATTTTGATCTTAAACATCTGCCGTGTTTTAAGACCTAGAGATTTACTAAGTTATTGAAAATGAACTTATCTAAAACACAATAATGTCTGCAATAAAAGTATCACCTCACCTAATCTTAACTACATCAGAAAATGTATGTTTATAATTAAACACAGAACAGATATTTTAACCTCTCGCTTCACCCTGCCCATCTGTTTGTGTGAGTGATTCCCTCTCTACGCTGTTTTGTTTTTACAGTTGTTAATTAGCTAGGATCACATTTCCCCATTATAAAGGTAAAAACAAATGGACATTCCATTAAGAAGTTTTCCTTGTGAATATTAAAGCTAAGTTCTAGATGTTCATGCTGAAAATGCAACAGGGTTCGACAGATGGTTCAGTGTGGAAAATCTCTCTTCTAATTAATGTATCCCAGATCAACTCCGCCAGGGAATGAATTTGAATTTGAATTTTATCGTAATTGTAGTTGTCAAACTTTAAAATTTTCAAGAGCCCAGTTAAATGTGTACAGCATGTTGACAAAGTAATGGAAGACTGAGCCGGCCTATTATCAAAACACAAGGCACCAGTCCAGGCTTCAAAGCAATACAACTAAGAAGAGCTCGCTTACAATCCAGGTCTCACTTTTCCACAATAAAAATATTCTTTTGGTAAAAGTGAGACTGAGATCAAAAGTGAGCTCATCTAGGCCTTATAGCCCTGGAGCCAGACCTGAACAGCAATTGAGAGCTGTAGACACTCAGTCAATATCTGAACACTGGTCCAGTTTTGACTGAGAGCCGTACACACTCGGTCAATATCTGAACACTGGGCCAGTTTTGATTGAGAGCCGTACCTGAATATGTGGTTCCATCTCGCTATTGATTCGACACTGGAGCTGGGCGCTCTCTCCGATCTTCACCGTGGTGTTGAGGGGATGGGGCGCCAGTAACTCGGGCTTGGCCATTATCTTATCTGTAAACATCAATAATACAGCATTATACAACATGGCTGAGTATCAGGTCAGATACTGCATCCTGGGATAGCCTTCCCAGGTCTCAGAATCATTGCAAACCTATTCGCAAATTATTGTTAAACTAGTTTGTGGCAAACCCCCTTCACATTTAACATTGACTTCTGTTAGTATCGTAGTTATGGCACAATTATCTTTTTTTAAATCATTTTTAAAATGTAGTATGCTTTAATAATAGTGTAAAAAACAATGAAATGTCCAGTGGGTTGGACACTTCCGTATATATTAATTATACTTAGTGATTTTGGTTGCCATTAAAGATGAATTATAAACAAGTTTTCCTGTATTGTTTTTTTATTTTGTATAAATCTTTTACAATTGAAGGGAAGTTTTCATTGAATTAATTTGAATATAAAATCAATCCATCACACAGTATAAAACAAACTCGCCCGTAGGCAGAAATTTTTTTTTTTTTTTGTGATGGCTTGAGGGCACTACACATCATCTATTGTCAAGTTGTTTAAAGTGAACAGAATTTCTATTACTCAAACCCCATTATTTAGGGCTTCAAAATAATTTCATAATTAATGCATTTTCTTAAACAGATTTCCATTTTATTCTGAACATCTCGCTTTTCTCATCTTGCAACGATCAACAGTTTGACACAGTTTTCAGACAAAAAACACAAGGTTTAACAGGACTAATACAAACCAATAAAAGTATCCAATAACACAGGACTATATTTCACCAGGCTGAAGCTAGCAGCCAATAACAGCAGCCACTAAGCCCGTAGAAGCTAGCAGCCAATAAGGAAATTCATCAAAGAACTGAAAGTACTGAGAGACAGTACTGTTTTTAATACTTTATTTTAGATAATTAAGGGCTAATGATTGAATAATTAATGCGAAAATTAATAACATAATAAATAAGACACTCGGAGGCAGTAAGGCTCACCTGAAGGAAACATGTGCTTTCTTGAAACTGAAAAAAATAGAAATAAATTACCCAAACATCCTAGTCCACTTGATCAAACAAGCACTAAGAATTGGTTCATTACTTCAAGAAGAATACCTTTTCAACTCTTTCAAGATAACTCAAGAATATGACAGGGCCAAAAAGCTAACCTGAAAGTTGTTTACTCTATCGATTGTAAACTGAAATATTACACAGGTGTAAACTACGTTGAAGTATGTTTAGAACATTATTACCCGGGCAACTTTATGGGTCTATAAGACTATTAATAACCATTATCAGTAATAAGAAGTGGTTGAGGTGCCACCAAGTGGTTCCAAGAGCATTTTTAATATTACAGGCAGGTATAATACCCATGATTTATAAAGTGCCTACCATATCGTAAATAGTGCAAGGTAGAAAGGCCCTTTTGTTTCCTGCTATCAGAACGGGACTGTAGTGGTACCACCAGGTGGTGCAAAGTGCGTAGAGTATATTTCAAGCAACCAGTTGTCATCAATTATTAGCCACTTGAAAATAACTAATCACTGCAGATGAATTAAGGGCCTAAGGAAGTATCCCTTGTCAACCATACAGAGGGTCCCAGGGACCGCAAGGGCTAGTAGGCTAACCTGGATTTTACATTATATCCCGAAAAACCATTAGAGAGGGGCCCCAGGGCTATCATTTCCCTACTTCAAAAACTTCCAAGTGGTGCCAAGTGCGTGGGGCATATTTCAAGCATTCATTTGTCCTCCATTTCCGGGAACCTGAACCATCTTTCACTGGGGATGGGTTAAGGGTCTTAGGGGGTATCCCCTGTCAAAGATTCAAAGGGCCCCAGGGGCTGGGAAAGGCCGGTTAGCTAACCTGAACTTTGATGTTTTTTATCATTGTATATTGTGAAACGGGAAAAGGCCAGCTATTATACGCCTTATCTTTGAAGTGTTCATCAAATGATGATTGGGGCAAAGTAGAGGGGTCCTAGGGCTATCATTTCCCACCTTCAAAATGGGGCTGTAGTGGCACCACCAAGTGGTGCCAAGTGTGTGGGGCATATTTCAAGCATTCATTTGTCCTCCATTTCCGGGAACCTGAACCATCTTTCACTGGGGATGGGTTAAGGGTCTTAGGGGGTATCCCCTGTCAAAGATTCAAAGGGCCCCAGGGGCTGGGAAAGGCCGGTTAGCTAACCTGAACTTTGATGTTTTTTAAACATTGTATATTGTGAAACGGGAAAAGGCCAGCTATTATACGCCTTATCTTTGAAGTGTTCATCAAATGATTATTGGGGCAAAGTAGAGGGGTCCTAGGGCTATCATTTCCCACCTTCAAAATGGGGCTGTAGTGGCACCACCAAGTGGTGCCAAGTGTTTGGGGCATATTTCAAGCATTCATTTGTCCTCCATTTCCGGGAACCTGAACCATCTTTCACTGGGGATGGGTTAAGGGTCTTAGGGGGTATCCCCTGTCAAAGATTCAAAGGGCCCCAGGGGCTGGGAAAGGCCGGTTAGCTAACCTGAACTTTGATGTTTTTTATCATTGTATATTGTGAAACGGGAAAAGGCCAGCTATTATACGCCTTATCTTTGAAGTGTTCGTCAAATGATTATTGGGGCAAAGTAGAGGGGTCCTAGGGCTATCATTTCCCACCTTCAAAATGGGGCTGTAGTGGCACAACCAAGTGGCGCCAAGTGTGTGGGGCATATTTCAAGCATTCATTTGTCACCATTTCCGGGAACCTGAACCATCTTTCACTGGGGATGGGTTAAGGGTCTTAGGGGGTATCCCATCCCAAAGTTTCAAAGGGCCCCAGGGGCTGGGAAAGGTCGGTTAGCTAACCTGAACTTTGATGTTTTTTATCATTGTATATTGTGAAACGGGAAAAGGCCAGCTATTACACGCCTTATCCTTGAAGTTTTCATCGAATGATTATTGAGGCAAGGTAGAGGGGCCCTAGGGCTATTACTTCCCACTTTCAGAATGGGGCTGTAGTTGCATGAGGTTCCAAGTGCGTGGGGCATATTTACATCATTCATATTTTATTCATTGTCGGCCTCCTGAACAAACTATCACCGGGGATGGGTAAGGGGCCTTAAGGGGTACCCCTTGACAGATTTCTGCAGGGTCGTAGGGGCTGGAAAGGGCCAGTTAGCTAACCTGAACTTTGATGTTTTTTAAACATTGTATATTGTGAAACGGGAAAAGGGCAACTATTATACGCCTTATCCTTGAAGTGTTCATCGAATGATTATTGGGGCAAGGTAGAGGGACCCTAAGGCTATCACTTCCCACTTTCAGAATGGGGCTGTAGTGGCACCACCAAGTGGCGCCAAGTGCGTTGGGCATATTTCAAGCATTCATTTGTCCTCCATTTCCGGGAACCTGAACCATCTTTCACTTGGGATGGGTAAAGGGTCTTAGGGGGTAGCCCCTGTCAAAGATTCAAAGGGCCCCAGGGGCTGAGAAAGGCCGGTTAGCTAACCTGAACTTTGATGTTTTTTTAAACATTGTATATTGTGAAACGGGAAAAGGCCAGCTATTGTACGCCTTATCTTTGAAGTGTTCATCAAATGATTATTGGGGCAAAGTAGAGGGGTCCTAGGGCTATCATTTCCCACCTTCAAAATGGGGCTGTAATGGCACCACCAAGTGGCGCCAAGTGTGTGGGGCATATTTCAAGCATTCATTTGTCCTCCATTTCCGGGAACCTGAACCATCTTTCACTGGGGATGGGTTAACGGTCTTAGGGGGTATCCCATCCCAAAGTTTCAAAGGGCCCCAGGGGCTGGGAAAGGCCGGTTAGCTAACCTGAACTTTGATGTTTTTTATCATTGTATATTGTGAAACGGGAAAAGGCCAGCTATTATACGCCTTATCTTTGAAGTGTTCGTCAAATGATTATTGGGGCAAAGTAGAGGGGTCCTAGGGCTATCATTTCCCACCTTCAAAATGGGGCTGTAGTGGCACCATCAAGTGGTGCCAAGTGCGTGGGGCATATTTCAAGCATTCATTTGTCCTCCATTTCCGGGAACCTGAACCATCTTTCACTAGGGATGGGTTAAGGGTCTTAGGGGGTATCCCCTGTCAAAGATTCAAAGGGCCCCAGGGACTGGGAAAGGCCGGTTAGCTAACCTGAAATTTGATGTTTTTTAAACATTGTATATTGTGAAACGGGAAAAGGCCAGCTATTATACGCCTTATCTTTGAAGTGTTCATCAAATGATTATTGGGGCAAAGTAGAGGGGTCCTAGGGCTATCATTTCCCACCTTCAAAATGGGGCTGTAGTGGCACCACCAAGTGGTGCCAAGTGTTTGGGGCATATTTCAAGCATTCATTTGTCCTCCATTTCCGGGAACCTGAACCATCTTTCACTGGGGATGGGTTAAGGGTCTTAGGGGGTATCCCCTGTCAAAGATTCAAAGGGTCCCAGGGGCTGGGAAAGGCCGGTTAGCTAACCTGAACTTTGATGTTTTTTATCATTGTATATTGTGAAACGGGAAAAGGCCAGCTATTATACGCCTTATCTTTGAAGTGTTCATCAAATGATTATTGGGGCAAAGTAGAGGGGTCCTAGGGCTATCATTTCCCACCTTCAAAATGGGGCTGTAGTGGCACCACCAAGTGGCGCCAAGTGTGTGGGGCATATTTCAAGCATTCATTTGTCACCATTTCCGGGAACCTGAACCATCTTTCACTGGGGATGGGTTAAGGGTCTTAGGGGGTATCCCATCCCAAAGTTTCAAAGGGCCCCAGGGGCTGGGAAAGGTCGGTTAGCTAACCTGAACTTTGATGTTTTTTATCATTGTATATTGTGAAACGGGAAAAGGCCAGCTATTACACGCCTTATCTTTGAAGTTTTCATCGAATGATTATTGAGGCAAGGTAGAGGGGCCCTAGGGCTATTACTTCCCACTTTCAGAATGGGGCTGTAGTTGCATGAGGTTCCAAGTGCGTGGGGCATATTTACATCATTCATATTTTATTCATTGTCGGCCTCCTGAACAAACTATCACCGGGGATGGGTAAGGGGCCTTAAGGGGTACCCCT